CATATAATATTGGTTACACAAAGTTGATCTACAATCTATTTTATATGAATTTGGAAATAGTTACACCCTACCCTTAAAAGAAACATTTTCTTTGTAATTTATATATGTTCATATGAAGGAAAATAGATAGTTGTTATAAATCTACTTTTGTGATAGAAAATTTTGTATTGTAATCTAAAAAAGGCACTTTTAACAATGCTATATATCAAGTTTTATTGTGGATTTTTAAGACAGTTTAAATGCTAAATCCTTTTTTGCTTGCTCTTGTTACAAATTCACATGACTTGACAAAACCATATGACAGTTTCGATTGCTTTTTCAAATTGGGCTTTTTTAGCTTTAAATTTTAAATGCTTTTACAATCGTTTTATATTGCTAATAAATATAAATTGATATGGCACTATTCACTAAAACAAAAACTAAAAATCTGCAAACATCTTAAAACTATACAAATTTTAGCCGATTCAGTTTTATAGCATTAAAATTTAACAGATGAATTTGATTTGTTATTGATTTCGATTTAATTTGTATAATTTGAATTTAAATCGATCAAAATTCGCAATTTCAACTCCTTTAATTTTTTTTTTGCCAAAACCAATATGTACAAAACAAAATTTATACCAAAAACTATTCTTGTGATTTTCATTAGAACTTTTGTTAAACTTTTTTAATAATATATAAATAGCTTTAAATTTAAATTCTTGTTTTGTGAATCTTTTTATTATAAAATTATCTTTATTACTTATAGAATAAAAAACTTGTTTATTAAATAACAAAATACAAATCTATACAAAAATTAAAAAAAATTCATCTTTAAATATAACTAGTTTTTTTAATATTAGTTATAATTTTTTAGATAACCTCAAAAAAAAAGACAATTATCATGAGAAACTGTAACAAAATATAACAAGAAGCTAAATTAGAAAAAGCAAGAATTTATTAACTGAACTAAAAAAAATATAACACAAGTTAAAATTCTAAAAACCAAGATTTTATTTACCATTAACCCAACCTGTGTGTTTTTTTTTTTTCAATTTTAATATTATCCAATTCGGGTATTTTACAATTTTCTATTTTGGTATTTTTTAATTTAGATTTTTTTAATTCAGATTCCTGAGCTTGTGCATTAATTCGCCTTCTGTATTCTTTAAATAATTCAAAAAGTTCTCTATGTTTTTTATTTTGAATTTTTAGAATATGAGAATTTCTTGTATTGTTTTTGCAAAGTTGTCTTGGTGGCATTTTTGTGAAGTAAAAAAAAAAATTTAAAAAAAAATAAAAAAATAGAGGTTATTTTATAAGAAAACAATAACAGATACTTTTCTCTTAAAGACATATTCATGCTCTCAATTTAACATCTATGTATAATTAGTGCTGTTCTACAATTTTTTTATATGGGTTCTTTTAGAGTTTAAAAACAATTTTTTGTTTGTAGATATTAATAATTAATCAAATTTTGATTGTTTGATAAATATGATTAATCAAATTTTGATTGTTGTAATAAATTTAAATATATATTAATTATCTAAAATTATGCACTAACAAAAAAAACTCAATTGTCTCTAAATTGTTTTTTCACATATAATTGTACAAATTTTTGAAGCTAATTTGGCAAATGCTAACTGACCCTAATTATATAAATTTTTTTAACAATCTTTAAAAGATTATAATTGAAGATTGTCTAATAAAATTTTAAATTAATACATATTTACTTATAATTAACTAATGCAAAGTTAGTAAATTGCTGTTCATTAGTTGGAATTTAGTAGATTTGATAATATTATACTTGTATTGAAACCTGAATTTAGCCAGAGTACAAATCATAAAGCAAATAAATTGTTATTATAAATATAGGAGAATTATTTCCAAAATAATTTACTATCTTCTTCTAAATTGCCACCAAATTTTCACTAGCATGTGATCACGTGTAATGCGCTGAAAACTTTTTTGTTCATTTAGAATGGTGTTAGAATCTATACTAAGATTAAAGTTGAAAAAGTTTTAATAGCAAAATTGCTCAAAAAAAGCTTTTTGTTAATATATAGAAAATGGTTTAGTAAACAATTTTTCAAGAAATAAATATTTTTTAACAAACTAAACATTTGTTTTGAATTTTTCTGACTATATTACATTACATCTGATCTTGAAATGTATTAAGATTTAAATTAAATAAAAAGTTGTAATTGTTAGATTTATATTGCTACTGTTCATTAAAAAATTAATGTATAATTATCTATTAAGCTCTATTGACTCTATTTAAGTTTTGTAACTGAATAAGCATTATTTCAAAAACCAAGTTATCAGTAAGCATTTGTTTCAAAATAATGCCTATACACCAGGGCTAAAATGACACATAGTATACAGTAGCTATTTACTACACCGCTACACATTGTTTGAAGTATTGTAAGTAATAAAATTTTAATATAATATTAATCAAAAACGACACTTATTGAATTACTATGTGTCGTTTTAGCCCTGCTATACATATATTTTAAATAATATATTGAGTATATAAAAGACTCTTACGCATCTATATATTCAAAATAATATACAGGCAGAATTGGTAAATTTACTGCCTATTAAAAAAAAAAGATTAATAGAAATCCTATTATATCAAAATAATATGTGACAATTCATGCAACAGATCATTAAATACTTACAAATGATTTGTAGGACACTATTATTCCAGTACTTTATAATAGAGATTGGAACCATTATTCATTTAACTGCATTAATCGTGTATTTTTATTAAACGATTAAACGAGTTAATAATTTTATAAATTGTTAAAAACCACCATATTCATTTAAGTAGAACTATGTTCATCCTGGACAAACAAATAAGCACATATTATGCAATAGCATTTTATATCAGTACTCATTGAATGTGTACTAGATTAATAACATAATAATCTGCAAAATAATAATTTTTAATGAGGGTAGTCAAGATTCATAATAGACTAAGGCTAGGTTTTATTTTTGGAGCATCTAGTACTTTAGACCCAATAGTCACATATCATATTGATATGAATTAAACGATTAAACAATTAAGTAAATAGTTAAATGATTAAATATGATTAATCATGTATCTTATCATTAAATGATGCGATTAAATGATTAACAAAATTTTTCGCGGTTCTAATCTCTACTTTATAATAATAATAAGGCAATAGATAAGAAAGTGCCTTATAAAATTCTATACTCCTATAGATGCAAACCTTTCTTATTATTCTCTAAATACAAGGTATCAAAAGGCTAGTTTATATGATTATTTAAAGATGCTATATAAAAATAATTGGCTTTGTTAAAATTTGTCTTTATTTGATAATCTGCAAGTCAATTAGAAAAAATGATCTACATTTATTAAGTAATTGTAATGCAAATTAATTAATAAAAATCTTAATTTGTAAATATAAAGTTTTTTTGGTAAAATATACAACTTGTATGTATGTATGTACCCTTAATATTTATTACTCTCGCTTATTACTCACTCGCTCACCTACCTACTCGCTTATTACCCATCTGCCTACCTATTTATTACTACCTATTCACTTATTACCCTATTTATTACTACCTACTCACTTGTTACCCACCCACTTATCAGCTTATTACTTCACCCACTTATTAGCCATCTCAGTCATGAAACAAATTGTCAAAAAATATGATATATACAGTAAATTCTAAAACTACACTTTTTATTAAAATAATATGGAGAATAGAAGAATAATTTAGAAGTTAGTAACAGGATAAACTTTTTGTTCTATAAGTAAATACTGGACTTGAGTCAACTCATAGTTTAAAAAACATAGTCTTAACTCGAGTTAATACTGTTTTTTAAACTACGAGTTAATTTAAGTCCAGTTTCTACCTATAGGTAATTTAGCAATTAGACAAAATAATTTGTGCTTTGGCTAATAAGTGAAGTTTTGTTTTAAACTTAGTGATTTCAAACAATAATACTTATTGTTTTGAATACAGGTTATTTGACCAAGTTTTTAAGTTACATACAATGGATAAGATATAGAGTAAGCATAGAATATGTACAATTACATACTATGTTTAGTTAGTGTCTGGTTTTTTATACTGTCTATATTTTCATATGTGTGTTACTTTTATTGACAGTTTTTTAATTCATTTATATTTGCTATTAAACTATGTAAATAAACGATTTGATTAATTTTTTTTTTTTTTTTGGTGTTAAGGTAACTTTCTTTGGCCTAGGGACTTTTTATTAGAGTATAGACAGAGTTTTATAATGTAATTACAATGATGGTATATCAAGTCATACATGCACCTTTTGAGTGTCTAATTTAAGTAGTCCGCCCGAAGGTTCTACACTATCTGTCATACCTGCACCCCAACTAGGAAGATACCTATTTAAACCATCTGGTTCTAACTACCTCTATCAGCCCTCTAACTCTGGGTGTATCTTACCATTTATGTATAGATTTCGGATATTACCTGATATGGATTTTGTACCCTACCTTAGAACTTACTAACTACACGGATTTTGTCAATCCCTATTATTAAGACTTACTAACCATATATGGCTAATCTATCCTTGAAGGTAAACCTAACAGAGTAGTATATATCCCATACATGTATTCACCTGCATGTTCCTATAACTTCTTCCTAGTTAGTACCTATTGACCTGCCATTCTGTATTAGTATCTTACACCACCTTTTGGGGTGTTGCCTTTCTACAGACGTTTCCTAAGCACCAACCTTCCTAACTAGGCGCCCATTACATACTCCTTGCCCTTATTCGGTTTACAACAACCCCAGTACTCACATTTAAACCGTCTTCTTACTCGGATTCTTTATCAGTCTCTCCCTTACTTCCAGCCAGCAACCCGGACGGGTTGGTCTGCCTAGGCTTTAGGTGCCTGAAGAATGCCCTCCTCTTGGTCCATACTTTCAGAGCATATGTCTTTTTCATCCGGTGCATTAGCCCAGTAGTTTAGCTGGTGTATCCCCCACTTAAGGACCTGACCGCTCGGTTCTCCAATCTCAGGCCTGGTTTGAATTCAGCCCTTCTGTGGCACCGTCAAAGATCACTGCTACTTCTAAATTCAGGACTTGCCAAATGGGTTTCGGTTATGCCGGTTTCTCAGATTTATTGCGCCAAAGCTCCCATTACTAGATGGTGTAACCGAGATTACAGATTTCTAGATTCAACCAATAATCACAACCATAAACCGAAACACAGCCTATTTTTCAAAATTCGTCGTCCATGGGATTTGAACTCTAGACCTGCCACTTGGAGAGGGTGATGACTAGATCACTATGCTAAGTCACTACACCTCTTAAATGATTTGATTAATAAAAATTATATATATTATATATATTTAAGAAATCGGTTTAAGTTTAGAGACATTATTTTTTTTTATTAAATTTAACTAAATATACATTTACAATAACTATTAGAGTCAATGTATTAAAAATTGTTGCAGATAAATATAATGATGAAATTTGGAGGTCTCAATTAAAAATATAAGCTCTGCCAAAATCCACTATACTCTTTTATTAATAACTCTAATCTAAATCCTAATTTAAAAATTGTATATAAAATAAATTCAAATTTCACTATCATCCGAATTCACAAAAATTGGCAAGTTTGCTATGCTAAATCATGCAACAAAAATAACACATGTTCACGAGATTACAAAGAATAGATCAGAGATGAATTCAGCTCAATATATAGCATAAAATATAGTTCTTGATGGGTAATTAACTAATTGATAGAATGATGCATTAATTGTATAGTTAGAATAGTAAGAGTAGTAAGAGATTAGTAATACGGAAAAGGTAAAATAAAGGTAGAGAAAAAGAAAAAAATAGTAACGCTTCTCTTGCATTTAATAAATATACAAATATTAATGATTCTTGCTATGCAAAGTAAAAGATAGAGCTATTTTATTTGTAATGACTTACTATTATTAGTTGTATTACAATATACCAATTGCAATTTGAATATTATTTGTCGCAGATGATAGTGAAATCGGATAATCGTGAAATCTACGTAACCCGGGACCCAGGCCTCATCATCACGTGACGCATATGATATTTTTAAAAATCCTGAATTTATAAGCGTCATATATATAATTTACATATTGCGAAACTCTATAGCTTTACATGCAACTATTTTATTAGAATTAAAACTTTCTGCTATACACGGATTTTTCATACACCAAACATTAGCCCAGTAACAAAAAAAAAGTCTCCTAAAAAAATCCTTAAAAATC